TCCCAACCTTTTCCTCACTGTGCCCCCCGACAAGATATGATAGCCTCCGTTGCCCCCATTTACAGCTGGATATGAGATTTTAATATTTTACTATTTAATTAATATCAGTAGTACAGTACCAGTAGCTACAGTAACAGCATAAAACAGAACGCTGCCTCACAAGAAAACACTACGAAAGGTTCCAAGTCATGGATATGTGAAAAATATAAACCTCTGTTTTGTCCGCAGTAAATGCAGTGGAATTATAATCTCAGAAAAATAAACTCAACTCGACAACAACTCACGTTATCAAAACTAGGGACTAAGTGCATGCGCGTAAAACTTACACAAATGCAAAGGAATAGTCAAAAAGTTAATTAAAAACTCCATTTTTGTTGCCATTTGGGGTATCCATGGTTGAGTCACAGTCAAGGTACAGCGGAGGTCATTTTCCACATGTAGCCGAATAGGCTGTGTCGATTTGATGCTGAACAGCGTTGAAAAACCATCTTCGCGGAAATAGGTACACGAGAATGGCAGAGGCACCCGGATAGCTATTTTGTTGATATCAGGAACTATTGCCACCCAAAACTCCGTCAGGATCTTCTCTTCGAATGTGTTTTTGGCAAATGAATCCTTTCGGAGCTCAGGAATTCATCTTACATTGTCTCCGGTGTTTTCTCCACACGAAGGTTGACAGAAAAAGGATCCCTCATTATTTTGGCTCATCGTCTACATATGAACAAAATGTCGCTTTTTCAGTACAAGATCAGGCCACACTAACGCTGTGCTAGTATACTGCATTACTCTTCAACTTTTATTTAAATTTCATTATTGATTAGTATCATTAGCTCTGGCACTCTACTATGAGGATCATTTTATTATTAACTCACATGGTTCAAATACTTTCATGGCCCCCTGTATGATACTGCCACCACCTGTATGATACTGCCACCACCTGTATGATACTGTCACCACCTGTATGATACTGTCACCACCTGTATGATACTGTCACCACCTGTATGATACTGTCACCACCTGTATGATAATGTCACCACCTGGGAATAGCTCCACAGGCAGTTTAGGCCTACAGCTATCGGGGAGTGGGTCTAGCTTACGTTTTGAAAGATACAGCAGTCAGGGAAAAAGTCCTATCACTCCTCCGAGTCCCATCCGTGAACCCTGAAACTCATGAACCTGTGAACCCGAAGCAGTAGACAGTGATGTATTATTCTATTCATAAATGCTTCGGGTTCACGAGTCTGAATCCCGGGGTTCGTAGAGCAGCAGAAGTATAGCGACAGAACTTTTGACCGTGATAGTCCCGCCGTCGAGTATCACACTGTGTACACTTCTTCCTGGCTCTCCTCCCAGGCCCGGTGTGTGCTGGCGTGGTTGGTCTCAAGATGCCTCGCTATTGTCTCTTCGGCGATACTGTCAACACTGCCTCGCGTATGGAGTCGACTGGCCAAGGTGAGCTACTTTAATACAGCTAGCAAGTCGTTCCTCTCTCTCTCTCTCTCTCTCTCTCTCTCTCTCTCTCTCCCTCCCTCCCTCCAAGTATGTTTCTAAATCTTTGTATTTCTTTCAGTTCATCATTAATCAATACATTGTTATATAATTAGTTGTGTTTATGATATTTTAGATATGTTTAACTTGGAAACTTTACTTAGTCTATGTTATGAAAACAAAATACTTACAAAAATCACTTATAATTCTTCTTCTTTTTTTTAACTTAATCTCAATTTTTACCCACAGGAAATATTAAAGATAATCTCGGTTATATTAAAATGAAGTTACATTATAAAGAAAGTAACCCTAACCTAACCTAACTTAACCTAACATTTAATTACTCTGTAAGTATCTATCCCTTACGGCGAGGATGAAGTGTATAAATGGAACTCAGGGTTGACTAAAGGTGATATAACAAAGATACTTAACATGAAAACAAAAGAATGGAGGAACTATATCAGACCAAGAGCGAAGACTTAGGAAGATTAGATTTAGGCCTGAGAGAAGGAAACAGTTGGTGTGGAAATAAGAGTTGTGGCTGAGTGGAACAAATTACCCAACAGAATCATTTTCTGGAACAATCTTGTCCTCAGTATTCTAGTAAGAGTGACCTACAATATCAGGTTCAGGTAATTCATCTCTAAATTAAGCCGATTCTAGTCAATCAGAGGTCAGGTTATCAACATTTCAAACTGAGAGGCTGTAGACTTGAGGTCACGGGAGCTGTGATCACATGCCAAGTACCGCGGCCACTGACACTAGATTATAGGAGACATAACCAGTGATATAGGATTATGGAATTATGAGATTATATTCTAAAGTTGAACCTAAAACCTTAACTGCCTGAGTATTAAACCGTACTTACCAAAGTGAGCAATAATAATCTGACATTATTTGCTTATTGTAACATAATTTATCTAAATGTTGGTTGTATTTTGTGTAAACCTCGGAGCTTGGTACCAGTGTGTGTGTGTGTGTGTGTGTGTGTGTGTGTGTGTGTGTGTGTGTGTGTGTGTGTGTGTGACGCCTACTGCCATGGGAAATATTGACAGTTGTAGTGAAATGTTAGCAAAGTGCAGTGATCGCTATCGGGTCAGTGTGATGACAAACTAAGATTCATTACTTGCACACACACACACACACACACACACACATGATGCCACGATGTATTATTTTGTGTTGTCAATCTATAAATGTCCTGCATTGTCAATTAACACCGTCTAGAATGCTTTTGGCTATGTTGCTTCACTTGTTACTTGTGTATAAATAAAATAGTACATTTTTCCAAGCCAAAATTCATTACTTTTTCTTATATTTTTTTCTGCGACTTTCATCTGTGATTTTTTTTTCTGTAAATTTTTCCTTTGAATTTTCCTGTAACTTTTTTGTTATTTCTTTCTGACATTTTTGTAACATTTTCCTGTATTTTTTTCCCTGGGACTTTTTGTTTCCATTCAGTAATTCTCCATATAGCTATACAGTAAACCGCTTGACGATGAGAATAGTTCCAAACAATATCTTGAGTAAGGTTCATGAGGTGAGGACCCCAAACACCGTGATACAGGGATGATTGATGGTCCACCTGCCACCACCTGCCAAGCACCTGCCTCGCTGTGAACTCCTTGGAGATATACGACCATTTTCACGCCAGGTGTCTTGACGATACTCCAATAATATTTTTTTTTCTATCGAAGCAACGTAATGTATGAAAGACTAATGGAACCTTTAGTAAATTACATTAATATTAGACACCCTAGCTTATTTCACCTGGTAATGCAACACCTTCACATAATATTTTAATGTTCTATAACCTAACCTAACCTAACCCCTCAGGTAGTGTTAGGGTGTTTTATAATCAGGTCAAATAAGCTGGAGTTTCTAATCTTCCTGTGATACTATTTAGTTACACCAAGACCGGGAATATTATAGCACTTTATTCTCCCTGTTATCACAGTGGCCATCAACAGAATACAGAGAATAACAACAATAATACGCAAACAAAATACAAATATGTATTTAATATTTAAACAGCAAATAATTATAAACAACTGCAAATTATATGTTTTACTAATCAGGGTCAGACAGATTAGCAACGATGACAACACGCAGCAGTTAATTATCATAATACCCAATAAAGTTAATTAATTATGCTGATGTATTGTTTTAGCATCATTGTGTATAATTAACAAACATCAATGATAATTAACTCAATAATCTCTCGCCCACAGCAGCTCTAGAGGGTCTTGTGTCTGGACCTAATGTACAAATAATTACATAAGGACGTAAGAATGGAAGTAGCTCCAGCTAGCCTGTTAACCCGTACTATATAGGCAGCCCCAACCCCTATCGCTCATACTGTATACCCATCCAACCTATGTTTAAAGCTACCCAGTGTGTTCGAGTTAATGATGATGTTTGGTAACTTGTTCCACTCATCCACTACTCTATTTCCGAACCAATGTTTACCTATCTCGCGCCTAAATTTAAAACCATTGTTATGAATTCGTTCCTGGTTGCATAGTGTGAGTACCTTTGTTATATCACTATACTGTATATCATTTCCATTTATATACCTCCATCTACTTTGCTGCCACTCTACGTCTCTCGAGGGAGTGTAAATCCAGATGCTTTAATCTGTCTCTGTACTCAAGGTTCCTAATGCCCGGGATTAGCCTTGCCATCTTCTTTTGAATGCTTTCTATGGATTCAATGTCCATTCTGTATTACGGTGACCAAAACTACACCGCTTAATCCAAGTGAGATCTCACATACGCGAAATATAGTTTAAGAACAACCTCGCTTGTCTTGTAACTAACACTCCTTTGTATGAACCCAAGTACAGTACCTTGAAAGTGTTATAACAATCCTAGAGTCTTCCTTGTATCACCCTCACTTACAGCACGGCCAGACCTTGTTAAAGTTACTGAAATGCCACTGGGAAAAACTGACACAGGAATAAAAAGTACAACTGCCACACTAGGAAAAATAGCACGACTGTCAAACGAGGAAAAAAAGACATTTTTTTCCTGCATTCTAGTCCAACAGTGGCTAGACAGCTCCCTCATAGTCCCACACCGGTCGCTGATGGGAACACACTCTCACCAAGGGAACGCATAACTATTGTTTCCAGTAAATAACTATACACATACAGTACAGTATATATGTATAGTAAAGTATTGCCATATCAAGACATTATAATTTGACTAATAATTTTAACAACACTTAATTTTTAAATAAAAATTAAATTATACCTCATAAATCCGCTTCGTATTTTGTTATTCTAATTTTGGTTCTTTGTATTTTATTTTCCGATAAAACTGTAAGGAAATATTGTGGGATTTTTTTTGTATATTACCAAAAGGTTTTTCTTCATTATACAGTAATTGTAATATTATTTTATTTAGTAATATCTTAGTTTATATTTGTGCTCTTTATTATATTTCCTTATTTACTCTCTTTATCCTATCTCCCTATTTATATATTTGTCCTATCTCCCTATCAAATTCCACTTATCTATTTCCCTGTTTCCTGTCTTTAGTCTATCTCCCTATTTCCTTTCTTTTGTTCCTTGTATTTCTCCTTTTCTTTATATCTTCTTTCTATCTCATTTCACATTCACTTATCTCATCTTGTTTCATTTAGTCTCTCTCTCTCTACCACCTCTTTATCCCCCATCATCTGTTGTCTCTTCTAATCTTTCATTATCTCTTGTTATTTCTTCTCATATAACGTTATTTCCTATTAATCTCCTATCAATCAGTGGATGACGGACACGATTATGATGTGGTATACCTCGACTTAAGCAGAGCCTTCGACAGGGTCCCCCACGAAAGACTAATACGAAAAGTGGAGGCTCATGGAATTGGAGGAGATATTTTAAAATGGATTAGGGCTTGGTTACGGGACAGGAAACGAGTGAGCATTAACGGCACTAAATCCGATTGGGGTAACGTCAATAGTGGAGTACCCCAAGGCTCAGTATTTGGACCATTACTATTTATTATATACATAAACGACATAGATATAGACGTAGACAGCAACATAAGTAAATTTGATGACGACACTAAAATAGGGCGTATAATTAAATCTGACGAGGACTCCGCAAAACTACAGGAAGATCTAAACGTATTTTTCGCAAGGTCTGAAAAACGGCAGATGAAATTTAATGTGGGCAAATGTAAAGTACTTAGTCTAGGAGATGTAAATAGAGAAACCAGATATCGGATGAACAACATTCTTATAGAGAAATCCAACTGTGAGAAAGATTTAGGAGTAATGATAAGTAGGAATCTTAAACCAAGACAACAATGTGTATTTGCTCGAAACAAGGCTAATAAAGTACTTGGGTTCAAACAAAGGAGTGTTAGTTACAAGACTAGCGAGGTCACCCTAAAACTATATCTTGGGCTTGTGAGACCTCACTTGGAATATGCAGTTCAATTCTGGTCACAGTACTACAGAATGGATATAGAATCCCTAGAAAGAATTCAGAGGAGAATGACAAGACTAATCTCGGGCATTAGGAACCTTGAGTACAGAGACTGGTTAAAGCATCTTAATTTGCAATCAAATTATCCAACCAGGAGCAAACTCGTAACAATGGTTTTAAATTAGACAAAATTAGATTTAGGTGCGAGATAGGTAAGCATTGGTTTGAAAATAGAGTAATGGACGAGTGGAACAAGTTACCAAACATCATCATTAACTCGAACACACTGGGTAGCTTCAAATAAAGATTAGACTGATATATGAGCGATAAGGGTTGGTGTGAACAGGGCTGCCTAGCATGAGTCATTAGGCCTGCTGTAGTTTCCTCCATTCTTATGTTCTTATCTTTTATCTCCCGTTCCCTTTTATTACCTTCCATGATCACCATTAATTCCCATTATCTTCCATTTTATCTCTGTCTCTCATTATATCTGTGTCTCATTACCTCTCTGTATCTCATTATCTCTCTGTGTCTGTCATTATTTCTCTGTGTCTCTCACAATCTCTGTGTCTGTCTTTATCTCTGTATCTCATTAACTGTCTCATTATATCTGTGTCTTACATTATCTCTCTCATTATCTGTCTGTCTCTCTCATTACTTCTCTGTGTCTCTCATTATCTCTGTGTCTCTCATTATATCTCTGTTTCTCATCGGCAGCTCTAAGGATCCATTGTTCCTGTACGTGTCGGGATATCTTGGCGAAAGTGGGCGGTTACGTGCTAGAGGAACGAGGTCAGGTCAAGGTCAAAGGCAAGGGTGAAATGACCACTTACTGGCTTGCGGGTAAGTCAATTGTCCAAGGAGTTTAGGTCAGTGTTAAGGTCAGGTCAGAGCTTAAGGTCAAGGAGGTCAGGTAAGTGTCAATGGTAGTTGAGGCAAGAAGGTCAGGTCAGTGTCAAGGGTAGGTGAGGTCAAGGAGGTCAGGTCAGTGTCAATGGTAGGTGAGGCTCAAGGAGGTCAGGTCAGTGTCAAGGGTAAGTAAGGTCAAGAAGGTCAGGTCAGTGTCAAGGGTAGGTGAGGTCAAGGAAGTCAGGTCAGTATCAATGGTACATGAGGTCAAGAAGGTTAGGTCAGTGTCAAAGGTAGGTCAGATCAAGAAGGTCAGGTCAGTGTCAAGGGAATGTGAGGTCAATAAGGTCAGGTCAGTGTCAAGGGTAGGTGAGGTCTAGAAGGTCAGGTCATTGTCAAGGGTTAATGAGGTCAAGAAGGTCAGAGTAGATACGTCAGATTATTATCAGGAATAAGAGCAGAGGTAACAGGTCAGATTAAGATTATGTGAAGGTAGGGCAAGGATTAGTGGAGTGTGTGTGTGTGTATGTGTGTGTGTGTAATAATAATAATAATAATAATAATTAACGGTTTATTGAAAGAGCATGGCAGCCGGAAGGCTGAAAATATACAATTACATAATTGGGGAATGTTTCTCTTGATTTACAAATGATGTGCAAGTAACATAAGTGTGTGTGTGTGTGTACTTCTATAAGTATATCAATAATATTGTGTTACATCAAAATCGATTATATCTTCTTGTCATTCAATAAACAAATTCATCTTGTGATCAATTGTTATGGTAATTTCTTCTCCTCCCTCACACTCAGGTGAGGACCCAGAGCGTAAGCGTCGTCGCGAGCGGTCCCGCCGTCAGCGAGGGCTACAGGGGTTGACGCTGGCCAAAAACGGGTGTGTGGGAGGCTTGCGAGGCTCCCTAAGGTGTGGCCGAGGCAAGACTTCTCCTCTCCCTCGAACTCTCAGCCTAGAGTCTCCCAAACGCCTCAGGTTCTTCATGTCTGAAGAGCTGACGACCCGGAAACTGAGCGAGGAGGTGCCGCCAGAGGGGTCACCTCCTCTCCCAGCCTCGCCTGCCTCCGACGATTGTACGGTGCGGCGCGTAACCCTCGAGGTCAAAAGAAACTCCTGTCCCTGCATCAAGGAGCACCGCGAGCAGACACGGGCGGGGCGGACCCAGGCCCAGATGGCACCCCCTGGTAACAGCAGCCCACATCTGTCTACCCTGGAGTTGGTCACATCTCCTGTGTCGTCAGTCGCTGGCTCTGGAGACGACGAGACGTTGGCAGCCAGCTGTAAGACTTCCGTTAGCGAGGTGGGTGGATCGCGGCCCTCCAGTTTTGTAGAGAGCACGGGGGACCCCGCACCGCCCACCCCAAGTGATCTTCCACCCAACCTCACACGTGACATGGCGCTGCGCTCTACCACGTCACTTCAAGCGCACCAGGATGTGGCTCACAAAAACACCTCCGACTTAGAATTGACGTTAACAGTACCTGTCGTCCCCAGCAGTATGGGCGGCAGACCCAGCAGTGTTAATAGTAGTGGTCCCGGGGGTGTGGCGAAGGGACGCTACTCCCTGTCTAGTGGTGGTAATGGCAGATGGCGCTCACACAGCTTGGTCTCGCACACTGGCCGACGGGGCAGTGCGGCAGACAGTGACTCCTTAATGGCTGGGATATCGTCGGCAGCAGCGGAGGGGAACGAAGGGAGGGCAGCCCGGCTGCGTTATTGTAGTAAACAGGACATTTGCTCGTCCTCAGCTGAGTGTGAGGAGTCCGCCCCTCTCCTGGCCAGTGTCGTCAACTATAGAGTTATAAATGAGGTGCACAAGCTTCCTGAGAGAGAAACTCCAGTGTGATGGTAATGAGCCCACAGTCTCGAATTGGTTAAGGGAGGGTGTGTCGTGAAGGACGGTGTGTGGCAAGACAAGGTAAACCATTCTTGTAAATAAAAGTGTCTGGACAAAGAAACACAAAACAATTGTGTTATGGGGTTCATGACGTTCCATGGACGTGAATACTGTATAAGAAAAGGGGAGTAAAACTAAGCTGGTGGGTCATTGGAGATGTTAGAACAAAATCTCACAAGACCAGTGAACCAGTTAGTGCTCCTGGCCGACAACACTGATACCCTTCTAAAGCCAGCAGACTGGAGGCAGCCACAAGACTGTATACAATAGTCTGTCCCTGGCATTCTCCGTGTTATCTTCAGTGATACACACAGATAAAAAATTATAAGACTATTTCAAAGTTGTGTCGTACTTGGGTATTCACATGGCGGTCTATTCAGGCACAGAACGTTTAGTGTGTGTGTGTGTGTGTGTGTGTGTGTGTGTGCGTGTGCTAGTCCTACACATCTTCACAGAAAACAATCAATCTTAACTTGTGAAATAAAATGGAAGCCAACAAATTAAGAATAACTTAACCCGAGTCAGACACAATATAGCGCTTCGTGTTCACTTACCTTCCGCCGGTATTAGTTGATGTGAAAAACCTAATATTCTTTATGTGTGATAATTCTGGTGCTTCCCGGTGAGGCAGTTTTGTTGGTTTCTGTGACGAAGGAAACATATAGTAGCCGAAGTTGTTTATCAAAGTGAGGTGATCCCGAGTCTCTTATTCAAGGCATGAGGTGACTTCAAGCACACACACTCACGAAACATCTTCACAGTGTTGTATAATCGAATCAGAAAGTAAACATCCCATCACTGACACCATCATTAGTACCATAACATTCGCCCTTCTAAACTAATATCTGTAATTTCAATTGGCATTACAATATGAACATTTGACATAAAACATAAAAAATAATTCATTGTTAATTTCGGATTGGTTGGCAACCTTTGCAACAACAACAACAGATACGCTTAGATCATTAACAAACACTACTAGGATTTCCATGGGTGAAATACTGAGACGTGAGGATGAATTGATACTGATGTTATAATAATGACTTGTCTGGTGCGTCGCTGAACAGGATTAATGGTGAATGTTGAGGCAGACTGTGGCGCCCTCGTAGACCTGAACACGACATATACTGTCCACCATTACCTGGCTGTATCCATCGTCCTGGGTCCCATCCGTCGTCCTGGGTCTCATACGTCGTCCTGGGTCTCATACGTCGTCCTGGGTCCCATACGTCGTCCTGGGTCCCATACGTCGTCCTGGGTCCCATACGTCGTCCTGGGTCCCATACGTCGTCCTGGGTCCCATTCGTCGTCCTGGGTCCCATACGTCGTCCTGGTCCCATCGTCGTCCTGGGTCCCATTCGTCGTCCTGGGTCCCATCCGTCGTCTGGGTCCCATACGTCGTCCTGGGTCCCATCCGTCGTCCTGGGTCTCATACGTCATCTTGGGTCCCATACGTCGTCCTGGGTCCCATACGTCGTCCTGGGTCCCATACGTCGTCCTGGGTCCCATACGTCGTCCTGGGTCCCATTCGTCGTCCTGGGTCCCATACACAGGCAGGTGATTGGCAAGATCAGCACGAAGGGAATGTCCTGTATGGAAGATATAAGATAGAAATGACAACAAAGAGACCTGCTTCTGTTTACAATTTTCTCGTCATAACACAACTGCTGACTGTGAGTGTCTGAAAGGTGATGTGAAAGGACAATAAACAATGGAATCAGAAAGAATAACCATAATATATCTACCAACAAACCTTCTTTTGTATTTTTTTGTGTTTTTTTTTTCCACGTGATATATAGACATAATAAAACTTAACGGAGCACATGTGTTACCTAAATCATTCTTCTATTGTCAGTTGTTGGCTGTAAGTGTGAGAGAAGAGGAGGTGTGGTGAATACAAGAAAGGGAAAGTGTGTGTCAGATGGAGGTGTACATCATGTCTCTCTCTCTCTCTCTCTCTCTCTCTCTCTCTCTCTCTCTCTCTCTCTCTCTCTCCATATTTACATTGATGGTGCTTATACACTGTTTACTATACGTGTCATATCGCTCACTCTATACACACACACACACGGCTTTGCTGGCTTGTCATACATGTCCCCTTGGTTGCCATACATGTCCCCTTGGTTGCCATGCATGTCCCCTTGGTTGTCATACATGTCCCCTTGGTTGCCATACATGTCCCCTTGGTTGTCATACATGTCCCCTTGGTTGCCATGCATGTCCCCTTGGTTGCCATACATGTCCCCTTGGTTGCCATACATGTCCCCTTGGTTGCCATACATGTCACCTTGGCGCTTTACGACCTTCTGCTCCCAACTCAAATTAAGGTCAATTTTACGTGGGTGTTATGAGTAGCGAAATACATACCTGTTTTCAGTTCTGAGACTGTGAGGCTGTATTAACAAACCAATTCAATTATCATAACTAACATACAGTGAAACCTCTATTTAACAGACTGTATGGAGAGAAAAGTCCGTTTTATCGAAGATCCGTTAGATATGAAACCTCCATCGACTGAACTATAATAGAGATTAAAGTCCGTTATATCGAGGTATCACAATACATAACTTTCAAGACACGTGTTACACATAAAACAATCTTCAATTACCTCACGTTTTTTTTCCTCTCTCAATCTCTGTACATACATACATACATGCATACATACATACATACATACATGCATACATACATACATACATACATACATACATACATACATACATACATACATGCATACATACATACATACATACATAGACGGTTTAAAACAATAGACAAAAATAAACAAACTATTTTACTGGCATTATATTGTTACGAGATCTTAGCTTAGTATCGATAAATATAGTAATTTATAAATGATTCGTGTTGTTTTAGTATCCTTAATAAAGTGTATGTAAAGAGTTAACATATTGTAGACCAGGTAAATTATTGGGTGACATGCAGGTTGTCTTAGGGGCGGGTCCAGGAATTTCCGAAGAGGGGGGGGGGGTCCAAATATAGAGGAGGAGGGATACAGGTAAGGGAGGTACAGGTGTATGAAAGGGGGTTATAGGTGTATGAAAGGGGTTTATAGGTGTATGCAAAGGGGGTACAGGTGTGGGGAAGGGGTACAGGTGTATGTAGGGGGTACAGGTGTATAGGGGGTACAGGTGTATGAAAGGGGGGTACAGAAGTATGAAAGGGGTATAGGTGTGTGAAAGGGGGTACAGGTGTGTGAAAAGGGAGGTACAGAAGTATGAAAGGGGATACAGGTGTAAGAAAGAGGTATAGGTGTGTGTAGGGGGTACAGGTGTATGAAAGGGGTGGGGGGTAATTTTTCTGTTGTAATACAAACATTCAAACGAAATATCTACAGGGTGGGTTTATGTAAAACAATATTCTGAGACACCCTGTATATACGTACTGATGTGTGAGGTCAAGCAAATTACCAAATTATCTGTCAATAGGATTGGATTAATTATGAAATCAAATGTAAACAAGAGCTTAAACCTTATTAAGAGCACAAAATAACCCTTATTTACTCCTTGACATAATAACTACTGAGCGCTACATGTTGGAGAGGGAGTGTGTCAAGTCACCCACAAAAGCGCCTCTCATCCTGAACCACGAACCCCGAGATTCAGACTCGTGAATCCGAAGCATTTATGGGCAGAATAATGTATCAGTGTCTTCTGCTTCGGGTTCAAGAGTCTGAATCTCGGGGTTCGTGGACCAGCAGAAGAAGCTACAGGCCTTTTGTATGTGACTGTACAACGTGACTATTGAAGGTTGAGAGTTATTAAACTGTGGAAATATTGGACAAGTTGGTGTTAAGTGAGCAGGGAACAGAGTACTGCTTGAGGTCTTGATGCCTGCAGGGAGCAAACAACACGACCAGATCTGCTGCAGTTCATCCTCATTGCTGCGATCCAAAGGCTAAACCAGATCCCTTCAGTGTAGTTTATTTCCCGCCTCCTTTACAGGTTTTCGGCGCTCGGCTCACTCAAAGAGTCCCGGCTATATCTTACCATTTCGTAATGGCTAGCTGTGTGTAAAGGAATACTTGAAGAGCAATTCAACTTGTCATAGCCTCCCACCTCATGACAGACGACAGATCAGTTTATGTCCTTCCCTGGTGAGTGAATACGTTCTAGAAGTAAATAATCTTAACTGTTGATTTTAGTTTCACTTTACGATTTTTGCGCCCTTTTAAAATGCGACTAAACCCTCATACCATGTGTAATTGTCCTACTTTAGCATTCTCTGATCGCTGGCCGTACTGGTCGGACGTGTCAGCCTTGTACTCTGCGAGAACACTGTTGATTTTCACTGGCTGCCTAAGGTTTGCACCATGCCTGGGGCAAGTGGTGGGCAGAAACCTGTGAATGATTTGGCTGGAGAAGAAAGGATTGCACTACTGAACAGCATAGAAAACGACCTGCGGCTTTCAAGTAGCGAATCGGAAGCAGATGACCTGCGGCCAACAACAATGGAGGTGACAGACAGTTTTGAAGAGGTGATTAGTAAAAAGGAAAAGAAGAGGAGGCGAGAGTTGGCGAAGAAAAGTGAAGGAAGTGATAGTGATGAGATCATGAATGATAGGAAGAAGAGGACTACACACAGAAGAAAGCAGAAAGAATTCAACTGGGAATAAAACACAGCAGGTTGGTCGAATGGATCATCGTGAAAGTACCAATGTGCCGAACATCCCGGGTGGTGGAAACAGCTCAGGTAGGAGGAGGTTGAACTTTACAAGTGATTCACACATGTCATTCTATGAGCGGTTGCTGTGGGCTGCTACACTGGGAAGAGAGCATAAAATGGTTGAACCCTGCTTAAGGAAGGTGGTAATAATTCCTATCTGACTGTAGCTGGGGATGAGGCGGAGGTATTGTTAACGTCTATGTACATCCTCAAAGTTTGGGTATTGATGACATGCCTGAGTGCTTATTAATGATGCTAGTGTTATGGCTGGTGATATTAATGCTAGACACGAAGTCCTGGGTACTATGGGACCCAGCAACATTAATGGAAGGAGATGGTTACACTTCTTGGAGGAGTTGGATGATATTGAAATATCGGGGAATCATCAGCCTACCCACATACATGGAGGAAGGTTAGATCATGCAGTATGTTAGGGATTATGCTGACATAGTTAGGGATTTTCTTAGTTATCATTTTGCATTACGAATTACTGTACATGTTAACAAAATACAGAAGTTAATTAAGCAGAAAAGTTATTGGTTGTGGGAAGACAAAAAACAGGAGCTGATTACTACTATACAGGATAGATATACAGATTATGAACCAAAGGAGGTTGATGATTTATTACATATTATTGATTCTGTTTTGGGAGGGAAATGGCGCAGGTATACCTATTTTAAAGATGGTTTATATCAGTACTATACGTTCAGTTAGTGACTATACAGCTCCCATCCTTATAATGTACAGTAAGAAAGTTATTCAAAAGCTTGAAGTAATACACAACGAGGCCATGAGAATTGTTTTATGTTGTCAACGGAACACTAGAATTGAAATAATGAGACTGGAGTTAGATCTACCAAACAGAGTAAAGGAACCTGCTGTAGCCGCTACTCTTAGGACCATTAGGAGAGGAGGAGATAATAGGTTGACCCGTACAATATTTTGCTTAAATGAAAAAACAGATCTTGTCAATGTGTCCAAGTATGGAGTAGATAAATAATGGATTTCACTACAAACTTATTTAAGGTTGAGACCATGGCAGGAAGGATGCATTGCCGTAGATATTTTACAGCTTGAGGGGAAAAAAGATGATTGGCATCCCAGTTATTTACGAAATGTCTTTTTAGAGAAAATAAATAGTTTTACCAGGCGAAACACTGTACATATATATTATGATTGATCAGTATTAATGGGGAAAAGCAAGAAGAAAAGTGATTGCCATATGTAGGGAGAGTTTTCAGCACTATTTGTATGTCTTACAAAACACCAATGTAACTTACGGGACTAACTTACCATCTGTTGACACTGTTATAATGAGACTAAGATTGGGATACAACATTAGGATGTGAACAAATGTCACCATACAGGAACAGTGAGATCACTACTTTAAAGAAACAAGTTTGTTGGATGATTAATAATGGAAAATTTAAAGTAATTCTTGCAAAGTATAAAAATTTTGCTCCAAGGATTTGACATTTACCTTTGTGTAGGATTACATTATCTGTTCTTTTAATGTAGTACAGTGTTCATGCCAAAATAAACTATTTCATTGATGTAAAAATATTATTGTATTAACATTTATAACTTTTTGTAAACCCCAGAAGAGGACGACAAAGGTGAGGGTGGGAGCAGTGTACTA